AGGTTCTAGGATTCGTGCTGGAGGGGACAAACGCGATAACATATATGGACCCAGAACTCTTACGCATATATAAGAACACTTCCGGATGAATAGAGATCAGAGAAAAAACGCCAGCACCTCAATTTCAATAGCCCGCAGTCCAGTTTTCTTTTACGGCTTAACAACCGCGGCGATACTTACGTAGACCAGGATAAGGGCAAGACTAGAACTTTATCAAAAGTCCACCAGCTGCCATAGTACAACACCTCATCCGCACATAAAACACCCAGTGGTCATACGCAGACCAGTAGCACCGGCCTTGACTACAATGCCCTATAAATGCTGCTAGTCGCCTTACGCTATGCCGAAGATGAACGCTAGCAGGACTTCACTGTCCATCTTGAATCTTTGGTGAGGAAACAAAGTCGCTGGTACAACCACTTTAACAGCCCAAAGGTTGGGGCGAAGGGGCACCCCTGGCTACTGTGGACCTTTGGCAGACCGTAAGATCATGCCATCGCGGCATCAATGGCTTTTGTGGCCAGCGCTTCCCTTCTCGTAAGAGCAACCGCCGAAGCAGTTCTGCAGAGGCTCGAGCAGTTGGTTTTCGGTTCAGATCCCCGAAGTTCTGGGCCAGATACGTCGATCGCCATACTCAAGAGGGACCACGTACAAGCTTTCAAGGCGCTATTGAACTCCCTCTTTCCGGACATCCAGTTTACCATGGAAGAAGAAAGCAACAACCAGCTGCCCTTCCTTGACGTCTAAGGCACAAAACTGACAAGCGGAAAGATAAGGACGAAGGTCTACCGGAAGGCTACCAAAACAAGGTGCATTCTTCACTTCCAAAGTAACCACCCTGTTGGCCACAAACACAGCTGTGTCAGAACTCTCTTCCGACGTGGTTAAACACACTGTAGCGATGACAGTGGAAAGCAGGAAGAGATGAATTACCTACATGCCCTTTTCAAGGCCAGCGGGTATCCCAAGTCCTTCATCCGAAAGTGTTTGAAGAAGATTTCCAGATGAATAGAGATCAGAGAAAAAAACGCCGGCGCCTCAATTTCAATAGCCTCCAGTCCAGTTTGCTTATACGGCTTAACAACCCCGGAGATACTTACGTAGACTAGGATAAGGACAGGACTAAAACTTTACTAAAAGTCCATCAGTTGCCACAGTACAACACCTTACCCGCATCTAAAACACTGAGTGCTCATACGCAAAACGGTAGCACCGGTCTCGCCTCAGTTGACTACAAAGTCCTATAAATGCTGCTAGGCGCCAAACGCTATGCCGAAGATGAAGGCCAGCAGGAGTTCAAATAAAACGCAATTTTTGAGTGCCTTTTTTGCTAATTTCGGATCCCTGTTTTTGGCAAATGTAGTTTAATTAGTGCACCACATATATTCCAACCCCCAGCAATCTATCGTACGGGACCGGTGGGGTTCTGGGGGTGAAGAAATAGGATAGGAAGTAAAGGAAAGTTTAAGAGGTAACTGTACAGTGGTAAACAATACTAGTTTTGTGGTTTTAGCCAATCCGGCATCGACGATGCGGTGCAGATTTATGCTGGAATATGCTTTAATACCCTGATAGTAATGGCAATGCGATTCGAGCTTCAATTTTATCGCTCCACTCGAGCTCGT